ACTCCCAAATGTGATGAAGGAGCTCAACTTGATCAGCAATAACCTCAAAGTGGTCAAGGTATCAGTTAGTGATGTTGATATTGCAGAAGTGATCATCTTGGATGAGTGGAACAATCAGAAAAGACAAACAGTTGACTTACAGAACCATAAATGCTCCTGTAGGCAGTGGTAGTTGACAGGGAAGCCCTGCAAACATGCTTTGGCATGGATTCTGTCCAACAGAGGGGTCAAAATTGAAGATTTTGTCCATGAGTATTACTTAGTGGCTAGGTTCAAGGCAACCTATGAGGACAGAATTGAACCTACCCAGATAGATCACAATGGCCTGTTGTGGAACTTGGATTCAAAGTGTTTCCACCATTGCTAGGCAGAGGAGCAGGAAGACCAAAGGTTCAAAGGCATAGAGGTTGCTTGGAGAAAAGGGCATCCAAAAAGAAGGTTAAATGTAGGAGATGTGGAGATTTTGGCCACTTTTCAAAAACTTGCAAAGAGGTAGAGATTGGAGAAGATGGTGAGAGAGCTCCACCAAGGAACAAGGCTAACAAAAGGTATGTTTCTGTGCACTAAATTTATCTTGTTTTTCACTTCACAATTTGTAATATCACCTTTAAAATGTAGGAAACAAGCTCCAACAAATGAAGCTGGTCCCTCCCAAGGCAAGAAACAGAAGAAGCTGAAGAAGGTCACAACAATAAAGAAGAAGACACCCATCAAGAAGAAAGCTCAAGAAGGCAACAGCCGGCCCACCTACTACTATTGTTAGTAGCCTTAGGAGGCTAGTCTAGGAAGACTAGAGCTTGTCAGCAGCTTATGATATGCTCTTGTTGTAGTTTATGGGGTACCCTAGTTTATGATATGCTTTTGTGTAACCTTGTAGTTGGAATGCTAGAACCATATATGGTTGTGAACCTGGTATGCTGGAACCTTGTATGGTTGTAAGAATAACAGCTGAACCTGGTATGCTGTTATGTTGAACTGGGTTTAAGTGCATCTGTTGGGTTTAAGTGTTGAACTGGTCTTGGTGCTGAGTCCTGTGGGGCAACTGGAAGGGTAACATGATCATTATTTCAGCACCTGAACTGGGAATGCTTGAGTAGCTAGTGAGTGAGCTGTTGCATCGAGTCTTCTGTTTATCTGCATCTAACAGTTCATCAATTACCCCATTTCTCACCTCTAATCTAGTTTTAAATGAAAGTTGCTGGATGCTTTGAAAGTACTATCTGCCAGTTTGCATGGAGGGCCAAGACATGGTGTGCTGGATTGGGATCGGCTTTGTGAGCTGGTGATGAACTGTTTTGACAAAGATCAGTATCAATTGTTGCTCAAATGGTTTGATGCTCTGAAGCAGACATGTTCTATTGAGGATTATCAGATGGAGTTTGAGAAGCTGTCTCAGGGCATTCTCTTGTACAATAGTGGTTATGATGACACCTATTTCGTGACTCAGTTTGTAGCTAGGCTCAAGGAGGAGATTAGATCAGTGATTGCCTTGCACAGTCCACGCGATGAATTTATGGTTTCAAATGTGGTGGCAAATGGGACAAAAATCACAAATGCCCAGCACAAGTTCCCATACATGTAGTTGAACAATTGTTAGATGCTTTGGAAGAAACTGATCAGGACACTGGTAGTGAGGAAGCAGAGTTGGAGGATGTGGTGATGGCAGTTGGCCATTCTGATGTCTCAGCTTTTCAATGATGATGAATTTATGGTTCCTTCCATTTGTTCTCCTAGATTTTATCGATATTCTACTCAAGAACATGCAGATAAATCAAAAACCCCAATCTGCTACAAATCCACACAAAAGTCCTTTTGCAGTGTCCAAATCATTTGCAAAGTGCTATAGTACTGTGAATAAGCACTTGGACAGAATCAGAACCCCAATTTGCTCAAACATGGCGACCACAGATCAAGTTAAGCTACCACAGATCAAGTTGAGCTCACTGCAAGCTAACCACAGATTTGTAACTTAATCAGAAGGTTTGGACCTCATCAGTACACAAAAGAACACAGGGAGCCAAAGCTCCAACACAACCAACCCACACTTACATTAGCTGACTAACACACATTCTAGCTATTCACTCCCACATGGCAGCAACAACAAATGCACCAATCAGGACACCTACAAAGCCAAAAAATCTGGCGATACAACTGAACAATCAAGCACAATATGACATTTCTTCGTGTCCAGCGGGTTGGACCTTCAGTTTCCACATATCAGCTACTACACTATCCACAGTTTGCTTTAACTCTTGCAATTCTTCCTTCAACACGGCATAACAGTCCGCTGATGTCTCCTTACCAGTCTGCCACTGGCTTTCCCTTGCTTCCAAGGCCTCAATCTGCAACTCAGAGCAGATGAAGCCGCAGGTAGTATGATCACCCTGCACACAAAAAGCATCAATCAGAGTAGCATCAAGAGGCACAGTGAGGTCAACAATGTCAAGAATCCTAACCTTAATGTTGTACGGGCACGTGAGAAACCACTGACCCTTTGTCGCCGGCTGCTTGCTCTGGATCTGGACCAAAGGAACATGGCAATAAGGGCACTCCCTTCTGCCGCTGCTCGTTCATCGGGCTTCCAGTCCACTGCCCGGCCATGGCTTCAAAAGCTAGGCGCAGCCACGGAGCAGAGCCTACAGACCAAGAGACGGGGCCACGGGAGTATAGCTCGGGCGCGGGCGGCAGTGGAGTTGGCCAGCGGCGGCAGCTGACTCGGACGCGGGCGCGGGATCCAGGACGCCGACGGCTAGGGTTAGGGTTCCCCGTCGTCGCCGCGTCGGGAGGACGAGTGAGAGACAAAGTGAGCGCGAGGAGGAAAATGGACTGAGAGATGGGGCCACGGGCGCAACGCAGGCCTCTTTCGTCTTCGGACGGGGGAAAAATCGTCCATACAGAAAAGAGCACAGTGTGCATACGACTGCCAGTGGGCTCAAGCAGCTGGAAGACGTAGAAAATGTCGGAAATCAGTGAAATGATGAATTCTAATGGTAAATCTCAAAATAGACGAATTTTAATGATACATCTCAAATATCTTAGAATTAGAATTATAATGGTACCCATCCAAATAATCTTTTTGAAAGGGGAAAAAAAGGAAAGCAAGCGCAGGGACGGAGGAGGATGGATGGATACTCTGCTGGGATCGGATAAGGCGGGGAGGCGGAAAATAGGAATTCCGCTAGGCGTCCCCTCCCCCTCCCCTGGGCAGCCCCGTCCCTCCCTCTCCCTCCCTCGTGTAGAGACGACTAGAGAGCAGCAGCAGCGGCAACGGCAGTACAAGAGAAGACACAACAGAGGACGCCCCAGATCCAGAGTTCCAAACAAGGCACACACACATTTCACGCTCGTTCGCTCGCGATCCAGCAAGCAATCCCATTCCATTGGGGCTTCCTTCCTTCCTCGTTCGGCATTTGCTTTCGTCGTCGTCGTCTCGGGAGCCAAAAGGTCAGTCACTCCACTCCCATCATCATCGATCGATCCTTCCTCTGCATCGCATCTCGTCTCGTGGTTGGGACTTGGGAGGGAAGCCACCCCCCATTCCATTCCTCTCATCAATCATCTCTCCAACTTCCGATTCCCTCCCCTTGCAATTCTAGACGAGGATTCCATTCGATTCGGTTTGGTGGAGTAGGAGGATCGGGGGCCGGCGCAGGAGGAGACCCCCGCGCCCGCCGCCCCGCACTATTTGGAGTAAGCAAACCGACTCTTAGTCTTCTTAACTATAAGCGTGCTCTTTTTTTTTTTCTTCTAATTCATTTTGTGAGAGGAGAGCGTGCGCTGTGTGACCCCTGTTTTTAGCGAGACGCCGGCTTTTTTCGGCCCCCCACCCCAAATTCGCTGCCGCGTTTCGCTGTCCGCTCTCCACCGGATTCTTCGTCATTTTCTTTCTGTACTACCGATAAAAAAGAGTCCCCTAATTTTTTTTCCGCTCTTAGATTAGATTGCATGCATCGTATAGGACTGTAAATCCTAACCCTCTCTAGGGATTTCCGCCGTTTTTGTCCCCCTTCCGCTTCGATTCCGCAACCGATTCCGGCGATCGCGATGAATCGCTGAGGTTCCTTTTACCTTTTCGTCACAAAATTATTTCCATCGTTTTTCTTTTCCCCTTTGCGTCCTGTAGGGTGGGGGTGGGGGTGGGGTGTGGGGCGTTTCAGATTATCCGCAATCTCCGTGATACGCCGCCCTCACACTGCCCCTACAATCTTGTGTACGGTGTACCTTCTTCACTTTTATAGGATATATAAGATATGATTGCCTGCTTATTTCCTGCTTATTAGTACTATACTGAGGACCTAAGCTCCGTTCAGGAGCAGACAGATGCATCCACATCCACAGGTGTCCTGTCTAGTTTGATTTCACGTGGGGTGTTTTCAGATTAAACTCTATACTAGTACTATGGTGCTTCTTCATGCTCCAGCTTATTGCGATCTGACTTGCTTTGTTAGACTCTGTTTAAGTATGGACTGGGCATTGCATGATGGACCTGTTTGCTTGCACTCACTTATGATTCTATGCTATGCTCTCATAGCCTTATAGGAGCATGCCAATTTGTTCCCAGCTTTCCAGCACACATGACGATGTTTGTTCCTGTATAAATGTGTATTATTTATAACTATGAGGATGGTTTTCTCCATGAGTCACTACCCTCAAATATCCCTCCTGCTACCTGACGGAAACTTTTAAATTGCAATAGAAACATCATGCTAAAGGCTACGCCAACATACCAACGTCATGTTCTAGTTTCACTATGTGTCAATGCCTCCACCTCACAGGCGTTATATAGTTGCCAGTCTCATCCACCAACTAAATAACATACCCTACAGCCTCTCAGGTTTGGTTTTTGTGGAATGCATTTACTTCCTGAGTGCTGTGCTTTTGCTTATTTATTGATTTAATAAATTTAAATGCATGGTGAATCCACCTGCAATGTTAGATCATCTTGGAATAAGATAAGCGTATGGCATTAAATCCTCATGTGATTACAGGCTCTCCAAGAAATGCCGTGTGCACTTGAAGTAATCGACACAAGGTTACAGACCACGTCACATATTCAGTGCAGCAGATCATTCGACCAAAATATTGGAAGACGCTTTTCAAAGGTATGTATTATGCACTATATGAATATGAGTGAGCGTTCTCTTGTGCTTTCATGCCATTTATTCCCTGGCTTTGCCCGTACTCATTTGGCGTTTTATATTGTCATCAGGGCCATCTGATACAAAAACCTGTTGCGGTTTGTCCTGAGAACAGGTAATTGACTATTGCCACTTGCTTTCATTACCAACAATCACTGGTGGACTTTGTGTATGCGGTCTGCTGCTGATGTGTATATTATGTAACAAGAAATTGTAGACAAAGTGAACACCTTAATTGGATCATAAAAATGAAGAGACAAAGGGTTGGTCAACAGGAAAGATCTAGTCGATCTTACTGTTGCTGGCATATATAAAACATGCTTAAGCTACCCATCCACACAATCAAACCTGCCTTGAAGTTTGCTGCCATTGTTTGACAATTGTGGAGGTTAAATCTTGATTTGCTAATAAGTTTCTTGCACTTGGTTGCGCAACAGAAAGGGGTGGCATAACTAAAACACATTTGTACTGAATTTTTGTCACTAAAAGGTCCAATCTAATCTCACCTAATCCTCTGTATCTCTTGTTTGTTGCCTTATTATACTTGTCGATTAGTCTACCACCATTTTCATTATGTAGCATTTTCACAGTACAATATCACCAGCCAGCATAGCCAGACACCTTGAATCTCATCTGTTCTTCCATTTTTTTGGGAAAGCTACCAGTTTAATGTGTTTTTGTGTGGCAGTGACACCTCATCAGCTACACTTCCGCTTGGGCACGATACAGATTGGAAACAGGCACCATTTTTGTCTGACACTCAAGAGGTCAACAAGGTAATCTCGTCATCAGGAGCTCTTGGTACAGAGTGCCTTGAGCTATTATCTGCACAGCCAAGAATACTGTGTTGCTTAGGCCAGCCGAATGAAAGGAACATGCATGATCAGGTTGATTCTTCTAAACCAGTTTCCAATGGAAACACACATGGAGGAAGCACCTTAAGGCAATCTCGGCAAAGGAAAAACGTTTGTAATTCATCGACGGCAGTCCCTCCCTGCCATGTAGTTGCAAAGTACTCCAGGCCTGTCGCTACTACTCTGAGTCTGAGATCTGATTCTGATATTTTGCACAATGATGACAAGCTTTCAAAAAGGAGTCCTAGAAAGAGAGGAAAACAGTGCAAGCGAACAATCCGCAAAAGGCTGAATTTGGCATCAGAAACCACTTTTGAAGAGAGTACTTATGGTGCTTCTCCTGTGGAGGTATTTCCGACCAATTTACTGGTTGATAAGTTGTCAGAGACCACACCCTCTGCTAGCTCGTTGGTTAAAAATGATGGTCAGTACAACAAGGACTATGTGGAATGTGGTATTATGTTGAATTTAGCTACATTGGGAACTGATGAGATGGATGGTTCTGGATGTGCTGGTTCATCTTATAATGTCGCAGGAGGGAGATTAAGCTCCAGTTGCGCTCCTTACTTGAATGATGAATCAAATACGATCGATTCTTCAGAATTTGATGGATCCACTTTCACTGAACATGGCTTGGGAGAAGAAAGCAATAGCTACCAGAAGTTAACATGTGCTCATGTTTATAACCCCAGTCATGCAACCACAGATTCCATCTTTAGTAGGTGGAACAATGACAACAGTGGGAACTACAGTGTCGATGTTGTGGCTACCATCAAAGATGAAAATGGACATGACCATTCAAAACCAGGGGCCTCCACAGGGCTGAGCAATATGAGGGTGGAATGCCAGTTCATAGGGTCACATCTTAGTGCTACTCATGCTGAAGATACAAATGATCATCTAGGAATCAGATCATACTCTAAGGATGTTACTGATAGTTGTAGCAATACTGAAAGGGTTCAGTGCAGCAGTCAGGCATGCAGCAGCAAGGCCTCTCTTCAATTTAGTTCAGGGAGGAGGAACATAAAATCAAGTAAAACACCAAGCTACATTGATTTGACTGTGTCTAACAGAGTGAGAGGTTCCAATAGGCACAAGAACAATGGAAAAGATAGTTCAGCAGTGTGGCAGAAGGTAGAAAGAAATGGCAAGATGATATCTAAAGCAGGACATTTGAGCAATTCATCTATTCATGATAAGGGTGCACATGAAGTTGGTAAGAAGGGTGTACAGGAAGATCCAACAAGAATTCGGGCAAAATGTAATCAGAATAGGAAAATGTGCAAACAGGATTCCTCAAATGGGACAGTTGAACTGGAGCCTACCAAAGAAGAAGATGCATTGAACTCCTGCCATACATTTTCTGGACCTGTCTACAAGAAGCAGGCACCCTTTCTACGCCAGCAAAGAAGCTCTTCTTCGAAACAAGGTTCTCAGTCATCGAAAAACTACTATGCTCCTAGGATTGGTATCCCCAAGGTGCCAAAGGATTACTTGCAGCAAGAAGAATTGCCTATGTTGGTGCTAGTTCATGCCAAGAACACCAGTGATAGATCAACCTCGTATTCAAGTTCAGCTGATGAAGTTGGTCTAACTGGAGTTGGCAGCAACTACCCAACTGAGGGAAATGAGGGTTCACAACCTGGTATTGAGATAGCAGCATCAGTATCTTGCAACTTGGTTCAAGATTTGGCCCCACAAGCTGCTTCTGATGATTCCCACGTATCAGATCCTCACTCTTTATGTCCTGAAAACAAGGGTGTATCCACCAGTCGGAGCTCCAAGAACCTGTGCACTGATCCTTTTGTTGCAGAAACAAAGGAAGCTCGATGTGTGAAGTTACTAACAGAGAATAATTCTCAAGAATGCTGTAAGTGGTATTCTGGTGCTGGACACTTGTCACAGAAGTGGATTCCTGTTGGTAAGAAGGAAACTTGCAATGGGATCTATTTGGATGTCTCAGCTAATGGTGAGGACAGCAACTTACCTAGTGAAAGGACTTATAAACTGAACTCATCTGAACATGTTGATTTGAAATTCCAAGCAGATAATGCAACTGAGACCGATTACAGCAAGATGAAAGAAAGGCTATCAGTTATGTTTACACAGCACAGCAGCAAGTCGAAGATATCCAACTTCGCATTGGTGGTAGGCCTATTGCTGATTTGGAAAATTTTGTTTACTCTGCTTCTCCAATTGTGCACTGCAGCCCTTGCCCTGCTGGCTGTAAATCTTACCTGCAAGAATGTGTGAAGGATGGCTTATGTTTACATCAGACTCCAGATATCACTCTAAGAACTGTCTGGCAGTGGTACGAAGAGCCTAGCTGCTATGGTTTGGATGTAAAGGCACAAGATCTCCGGAGGTCAAAAGGCTTGTGGAATAGTCATTGTCAGTTTACAACGTATTTTGTACCATATCTATCTGCTGTTCAACTCTTCAGTCAACCTAAAAGAACCAGTGGTGGAAGCATTGATAAGGAGTCAATCCATAGGAATGTGACATGTGAAACATCTCCAGACCTGAACCTACCCCCAATATTTGCAAAGCTTTTTCCAAAACAATCTAATCCAGTAAACAAATCATCTACTCTGCATACTGAAGATGATCAGCAGACAGCAGATGGGGAGCTGATATTTGAATTTTTTGAATCTGAACAACCATACTCGCGGCAACAGTTATTTGACAAGTGAGTCTAATTACATAACAGGGTGCCTGTGTGCTTATTCTTAGTCTTTTACATGTTATGATGGTCGTAGTCTTGTTTTGTAAACATGGTGACTCATACCCAATGCCATTTTCACTTTGCCCCCATGTTTTTGGACTTGACATTCCTTGTAATGGTTTCTGATTTTGAAGCTGTGGTTCATTCTTGTACATTGAGAGAAACAGGTACTTGTTCTTTGAAATGTTCTTATAGAATACTCGTTGCTCTCGTACTAGGGTAAATGAGCTGATTGCTGGTGTGAAACCATCGAAATGCCAAATATCTGGAGACCCAAAGAATTTGGAGGTCAGCCTGCATGATCTCCATCCAGCCTCTTGGTCTGTTCTATGCTCTCCTCTTTTATTGGTGACATTATCATTTAGCAATATACTTGTATCTGGATTTGTAAAAGCTTGTGGGGTGTCTTGTGTTGAAAACAGATCTCTCTTGAATTTCAGGTATTGTGTTGCATGGTATCCCATATACCGGATACCTGATGGAAAATTTCAGGCCGCATTCTTGACATATCATTCTCTTGGGCACTGGATTCATCAGAGCAGCTCAGCAGACGGGGCTGTTGTTTTGCCAGTCATAGGCCTGCAGTCTTACAATGCCAAGGTAAAGGACTAACATACCACATGATACATAGATGGTAACTGAAAATGGCACAAATTGGTGGTACAACTTTAGGCCTGAAACAAAATATTTGTTCTTACATGATTTGACGTTTTCCAAGTTTTATGTTTCTGTTTCCTGAGATGAATACGGTTTGATTTGTGTTGCATAACATACCTCTTACCAGATGGCCATATTGAAAATGGTTGGTGGTTTTGAAAAAACTAAATGTGGTACCTACTTGGCCATTCCAAAATCATATGTTTTCCCAGAAAGTCTGCTAGACATCTTGAACCTTTACTGCTTTATAAATGCTATTTTGCCTGCTCAATTAGTGTTCCGAAAGGACCAAGAAAATCAAAGGGCTTCTGGGGTTAGTGAAAGCTGGAGGTCTTTTGGCACCAGGTCAAATGTTGGACTGTGGTTCTGGACTTTCTGGGTCATGGCCATGTGGAATGTTGGGTTTTTGGGTCCCAGGCCAATGTTGCGAAAGTAGTCCTGGCCATGTGGGTGTGCTTAAAGTGGCAAAGTAGCAGTAGGCTGCTTCATATTTATTGTGGATTGTTGGTTAGTTCTCTAGTAGATCAATGCGTTTAACTCTCCTCTGGTAATGCAGGCAGAGTGGTGGTTTGAGATGAGGAAATCCGATTCTGAAGGTGCCGAGTCAGCAGAGCCGCAGTCCAGTGAAGCATCCCAGATTCTGAAGGAGAGATTGTGCACGCTGAATGAGTCTGCAGCGGTGATGTCCAGGGCCAGCGTGCTGAAGAATGGGCAGATGAGTAGAAACAGGCACCCAGACTTCGAGTTCTTCCTCTCCCGGAGCTGATGGATGCTGGAGGTCGATATCATATCATGGTGTCCGAGGTTCCTGGCGCTGATGAAAATGACAGTAGCAACCACTAGAACTGATGTGTACCTACGTTGTCTAGGTTTTGGAAGCGCTAGCTTTTGGAAGTGCTGGTCTACCATGTGTAACCTGCTTACCTTGTATATTATCATAATATCAATTCCCCATTGAAATGCTGTAGCGATAGCAGCAGAGCGAGTGAGGTTTATCGGATTTAGTTTCAGTGTTCTTATGTATATATATGTGTGTGTGTTGACACTGTTGGCTACCTTAGCTTATGCTGCAACCGTGACACTGATGGAGTGTGGAGAATTACGAAATGGAAAAAGGGTAGCTGTTTGCTTATCAATAGCTGAAGGAACATGATGAGTAGAGACCATGCATATATGAGTACTCTGCATATATAATGCTTGTTGGTTTTATTCAAGTGACTCCGCATATATATGGATTTCATTCATGGACTGGTTGCATTACAAAGAGCACGCATGCATGGCATGAAGAAGCTCTCCAGATCACGGGCACTTGAGCTTGTGTGGATTGTGTGGATTGACCATGGTGTCGTAGCAGGGGCAAAGGTGGCGGGTTTCCTGCCCGGTCCCCGGTGGCACGCAGCCGCACTTGTTGCAGCAGACGTTGCACATCTTGTTGCACATCTCGTTGTTCCAGTTGTTGCCGCAGCGAACGGAGCAGCTGGACGGGCAGTCTGCATGCAATGCAAAACAGAAACAGAAACAGGCATGAATGAGACTGCTGCAGCCTGTCTGTGTAGCTATCATGATGCTGTATGTACGAGGCGCCACACTTGCGTGTTATGTACAGTACCTGGTTTTGGCGCCTGAAGCAGGGATCTGGCCCTGCTGCTCATCCTCATCCTCATCTGTGGTTGCTGCTGCTGGTGCTGCACCTGCATGGACACACGGACCATGTTGATGTGCTCATTATTCAGAAATCAGATGACCTGATGCTGCTGCTTCTTCAATCTTCATGAGAGGAAGGAGTACCACAGCTGATTCAGTGATGATGCAGAAGAGAAGAGGAGTAGACATACCTGTTGTGGCAGTGGCTGTGGATCGGCAGCAACAGCGGCTGCTGCGACAGCAACGAGAAACATTAGAGAAAGGAGGAGGAGCTGCTGATGCTGCTTCATCATCTCAAGGAATGAAGGGAAGGAAGGAGTCGCCTATGGATGGGATGGATTGGCAAGGGAGGTCTGGCTGTCTGGGTTCTTGTTGAGTGAAGTGGGGTGGAGATCTCCTTTCCTTCCTTCCTGAAGCAGGCCGAGTCTGTCTGGCTCCTTGGCTGGCTTTCTTTATTATTTATAATCGGCAGTGCAGGGGCAGAGACGAGCAAGCTGATGAAATGAAACGAAGCGATCTAGGCAGTGATGCAAATATACGAGGAGTTGAGTTGAGTGGAGAAAGAAGCAGCAGCAGCCAACACTGCAGTAGCAGTAAATAATAACTGGGCGGTGCAGGTGCGGTGCGGTGCAGTTGGTGCCGACTGCCCGTGGCGTCCCCACCCAATGACAGCAAAGCAAAGGATTGGAGAGCTTTTCATTTGCATTTGCTACACTATATTGTAACTTTTCCCCCAATAAAGTTGCTTGATAGCCATGGCAATGGCCTATGGGAGTACAGCTGAGCAAGCAGCAGTATGAAGAAGAAGAAGAAAGGGTAGCCAAGCCAACAAGTTAAGATGCATCACGGCACATCAACCAGCTTCTAGAATATGAATTACTGTATGTAAGTATTATGCATGTATTACTATCATGTTACATGTACGGATGTTTATAGCATGCCATGCTGTACTGTGATCCTGTTTAGATCCATGGAGCTAATAGTTAGCTGCTAATAATTAGCTTCTTTGAATTCAAACGGGTCAAGCTAATTGTTAGCTAATATCCAGCTAACAACTATCTTACTGGTTGAATCAAACCAGCTAACAGCACTAATAGTTAGTTATTAGCAGTTAATGGATCCAAACAAAACCTATGCTATGCTGTACAAAATTCAGTTGATGCGTGGTGGAGAAGAGTCAGTCAGCCCGGCCGGCAGTCCGTGATAAACTTACTGATATCATATAGCAGTAGACGACGGACGGATGGGAATCGGATGCCTTGCACGCACTTGTATATACAATCTTGCAGATCAGAGGAACAAAACAATCAAGCTGGTTTTAAATTTTTTTACAGTTTAACAAACACAGAAGGCTAACCTCTTATTGGGCTGAGCATCTCAATTCCTACCGAGTGTTCCTTAAAAGTGATCTCTTTCATCTGGCTGATCCTTAAAAAAGTCTCATCTTGCTCAGCACTACGGGTGAAAATGGTACGGATAATTTCCGACCGTATTCGAGACCGAATTTGTTTAGAGGAATTTAAATCTATCCGTATCCGAGTCCGGATATTCAACATCCGATACCGTATCTGTATCCCAAACTCAAATCGCATATTTATGATGTCGATATCCAGTTGTATCCTATCTGACATGGGCCTGTTCGGCTAGTATTAAAGCCGGCTGATAATCCGACTGAAACTGTTTTGTTGTGAGAGAAAAATACTGTAGATTAGCTGATAAGTTCAAGCGAACAGACCTATGGTTAACACCATCCATATTCGAATCTGAATCCAAATAAAAATATAAAAACAAATATAATATCAATGATATCCGTTCGTATCCTTTTCATCCCAGCACCAAATTCCCACCGGTAAAGCCAGTGACTGAACCTTAACCGAGCCCAGAGAGCAGTGCAGAGTTGCTGCACGCCTGCACTGCACATGCATATGCATTCATCTTTCTTTGCTTTTTGCTCTTGTGGGGACTGGTGGCTGGTGCTGTCTGCGTGCTTTCTTTTCTCACTGTGCCTGTCAGCCCAGCCCCATGGTGCCGTGCTCGTGCTTCTGCCCACATCACATGCTCTGCCTCCCTCGTCATGGTTTCTGGCTGCCTGGCTCTTCCCCATTCCAATCTGCTAGTGCTACCTCATTCTGCAACTGCAACAGCAACAGCTCCATCAGTTATCTACCCCACTCCCAGTTGTGTTAATACAGCAAAAGAACATTCAATAAAACAGCAGCTCCAATTCACCGCTGCTCCTGCATCCAAGACGCAGCAACAGCGCCTCGAAAACATTAAAAAAAACATCATAGCTAAAGCTAGCAATCACATGTACACACATACAAGAGCAGAGCCATGTAGCAAGTCCCGAATCAATCTGAGAAATTCCATTAGACAAAAAGATAAATAAACCCCAACACTGGGCATCAACGACAACTCACTGACTGACCACGAGCTTAAGAGTACTACGGACAGACACACACTACATCAAGTTCTAATTAATTAAGCAAAACGAGAGACATCTCATCTCGTCCGGATCGCATCATCTCAAAGTCTTATGTAAACAAACTCTGCCGCTGCTGCCCCCCATTACGGTTCATGCTAAACCATCAATCGCACCAGAGAAAAACCAAACCCAAATGGTTGGTCGCCAGCCCAGCTCGGCTTAGGCCTCGTCCGCGTAGGCCGGCTCCAGGATGGCCGCCTCCGCCTCCTGCACCTCCTTCTCCGTCTTGCGCCCCTTCTTCGACTTGTAGTACACGCTCATGAACGTGCCCACCGCCCCATACTTGCGCCGGCAGTGCTCATAGTGGGACGCGTCGAACATGCGCCAGAAGTCCTTCTCATTCAGCTCCGACACCGCGTACTGTGGCTGGTAGCTGTGGTTCTCGATCAGCCACTGCTCCAGCCTGTGCACCGCCTCCGCGCCATTGAACTCCTCTCCCCTTAGGACCGCAGCAGGAGTGTAGTACACGCCCACGTCCGTGAACATCTGCGCGTAGCTTGTGTCGCCCTGCCTGTGCTGGTGCTCGAACCCAGGCTCAGGGTACACCATCGTCTTCACGGGCAGCTTGTACAGGCGGTGAGGGCACAGCCACAGAGGATACACCTAGCAACAATCAATTCCAAGAAATGCTCATTATTATTATGCAGTGGACTGCTCATAAACAGCAGCAGCAGGTGTGCAAGCAACAATGACAGTCAATAAAGATATATATGACACATTACTATTAACAAGAAACACACCTCCATCTCGCGGTGCACGAACTCGAGAGCATCTCCAACCTTGTACAGCGGCACCAGCATGTCCTGGATCACATGGTTGTCATGGTAGTAGTTCCTGATAGCCTCACCCTGAGTCGCCTTCAGAAGAGACACCTTTGGTGGCATGAGCCAACCCAGCAGGAACCTGAACCAGAACTGATCACCGAATGGCAGGATCAGCTTTCCCTCCCAGTACAGGCACCGGGTGTGGCGGTGGTAGTACTCTCTTGTTGGGATGTACTCCACAAACTCGCCCCTCTTGAGCGCTGTCTGAGCATGCTGGTAGAACCAGGGCTTAAACCACCACCCCACGCAGTTGATCTTGTTGCCCTTCTTCTTCGCCTCTTCTTTCGAAGCATACACACCAGTCATCATGACACCCTCACTTTCTGTGTACACCATTCCTTCAACAAAGTCAGGGACCTTTGCTGGGTCACCATCTCTTGGCGCGAAAGAATCAGCATAGGCCTGCGCGATTTCCTTCAGACTCCCTTTCACTGGAATGTAGGTGAGCTTCATGTACTCCTTGATGGGAATCAGCTTGATCTCAGCAGAGACAAGGAACCCAAGTGTTCCCTGGGACCAGGGAATGCCATAGAAAAGGTCAGAGTACTCATTATCCTTGGTGGCCCTAACAACCCGGCCATCTGCAAGAACAACTTCCATTGCAACAACCGTGTCAGAGAAAAGGCCATAGAGGTGAGAGCTCCCCTCAATTCCATAGCCATTGATGAGCCCACCAACAGTGAGGTCGTCAAGCTCAGCGATGACTGCAAGGGCAAGGTTCATTGGGCAGGTAGCTCTGCTTATCTGACCCATGTTTACAAGGGGCTCAACCTTGGCAACCATCCTCTCTTTGTCAATCTCAAGGATGTTCCTGAAGGAAGAAAGGTCAATCTCAAAATGCCTCGCACGCTTGTGTCCACATTGCGCATGCCAACAGCAATCCAGGGCTTCCTGGCTGTGCAAACAAGACCATCCTTCTTTGGGTTCCTCTGCTTGAGCCGCTTCACAACCTTCTGCACATTCTCATCGTGTTGCTTCTGGCGCTTCTTCTCTGACTTCATGGCAGACCACATGTCGCCCAGAAAGATATTGAAGTAGATCAGAGATGAAATAGGAAGGACCACGAAGATCACAAGGATCCATCGGAACTGCACCAAGTAGTCCACCAAAACCTTCTTCCTCTTGCGGCGCACCAAAGGTTCATGCACGTCCGCCATGGGTGGAGGATGCTTCTGAAAAGAACACAGTTGAAAGAGCACGCCACAACAGAGTTAGCTAAACAGTGAAGTCAACCAAAAAAAAACAGCAAACCACATATATCATATCATGGAATAGCTTCTACACTAGATGGAAGAAACAACTGAAGCAAGCACATTGTTATCTGAACTGCGAGGAGATATCTCACCAACAGCTAGCTGTAATGATACAGCTACACCATCACAGTACCATCCCTCTATCTACTAATGTTTCAGGAAACATATAGAGACGGTGCATTAACACTGAATAAATGAATGAATTAACCACATAAGGTCCAGATCAAGAACCTATCAGGTCAGGGGCGGCAGGACATTCACATGCAAAGGTCAAAATTTGGAGCGCCGATAGTTGTATGTCTAGTAAGCATCTCTTGCATAACTAGAAGCAATTCCTAAGACCCCAGCTTTGGATTATCATTAAAACAGAGACGATGCACGCCCAGCAGTGTTTATCTAGTAATTCCTAGAATCAAAAGAAAGCAGTACATAGTATGTGGGATAGTTTGATAAGATTGTGCAGGCAGCAACCAGTAGTCAAAAAGAAGCTTCATAAAACTTTGCTAAGAATGGAGGAACCTGAACCTCGACGGCATACATATTCAGACAAAAAAAAATTCAGATCCCAGAAAATAGACCACGTGGTTTGCTATTTTTAATAGCCTTAAACAGTAGAACCCCATAAGGACCAGTGCACACCTACCTCCTACAATTTGTTTCTGACCCGCAATGCAATCATTGCCCGCTTAACCAAATCTGAAAAGACCATACGGATATGGGCAAGGTAGATCCTTTTGGTTTGGGCATAGGAGCCATGCATGCAGGCACCAATTCTGAGCTAGAATGCTGAAGCATGTTTTGAACCTTACACATATACTACTACAGATCTGTGGCATGCAGGCATGCATTCGATGGGGTTCACATGCCTACCAGTCAGATCCAGCAATCATTGATGGCCCCAAGTAAATTCAACATTCATACGAAACTGAGAGGAAAGGGTGGGCATAACATGTCATGGCCTTTGTGACTCTCTCTTAATTATGAAGATTAAACAAAGTGAAAAAGGATCTCCTTTTATGTTTTTTTGGGTGGGGTGCGATGATTACACTTGCGCCAAGAGAAAGTAAAGCTGGGCCTTGTGCACACAAGTTGATGCTGGAGTACTAGGTATTCCCCTTTCTAATTCTTTGAACGTAATCCCTTTTCCAATTCTTTCCGCAGCAAATCGCTCCTCTTTTTGCGTCCCCCCACTCACCCACCCACCCAAGAAAAAGAAGCTGAAAGGCTGCCAGTCAGTCACTAGTAACAAAAACAGAGGCACAGCCATGTGGTAAGTGGTAACTGTAAAAAAAAAGAAAGGAAAAGAATGTAATACCAAAAATGACTAGCCCTTTTTCTAACGAAGGAAAGGATAGGAAGGGAAGGGAAGGAAGCTTCAGCCTTCAGCCGTGCGCCTGGGGTACGGTACTGTACCTCTAGAAGGGACTGGCGCAATCCAATCCATGGAGAAAAGAAACTACTCCTACTCCTAGTATACACGGGGGACGGGGGGATTTGGTTCCTGACGGCATGCACGCAAGAACATAGCAGCAGATCTAGGCAGCGACGGGGGCAGACAGTCCGGACGGGGGACGCCGGTGGTGTTCTGGATTGGGAAGCAACCAGTGAGGAGGAGATGAGAGTGCAGGAGGTCGTCTTAATCTTACCAGCTGTGGATCCGGCCGGCCGGCGCTCCTCCTCCTCAGCAGGCGGAGCGGGAGGTGGGCGAGCGATGCAGATGCTGCTGCAGCTTGTTGCCCCCGATCTCCGCAGGGACAGCGGTGGGGGTTTTTAAAGCGGCGACACTCCACGCTCATCCGGAAGCGAAGGTAAAGAGGAGGGGGTTTTGCCACTTTTCGTTTTAGTCCCTGTTACGATCCATATTTCTCTCACCCCTTCTCTCTATGCTCTCTTGGCTGGTTGTGACAGCTCTCTTTTTTTTAGTTTTTGTTTTGCCTTTTCTTTTTGTCCGTTGTCACCTACTCCTATCTCTATCCTCTCTATGCTCTCATGCTAACAAATTGTTTTTGTTTGCTCGAAGGGCCGAAAAAACTGAATCGGCTAAGCAAAGATTACCATGCGTATGATTTTGTTAGCATGAGGTCCAAATCCTTGCCAGGATGCAAAGTTACCTGCTACTTGCCAGCTGTAAGACCAGCTAAGGCGCTCAGCACAAGTGTATCGTTTATACACGGTTAAACTCTTCTTCTTAATTATAATAATATGTAAATCTTTTGCGTATTTAAGAAAAAAATTACCTGCTATTAGGCAGGAAGAAGCAAATTGGCCCGAATTGTTTTAAATCCAACATGCTCGGCTGGTATTAAAGCCGATGATAAGCCGGCTAAAGCTATTTTGTTGTGAGAGAAAAATATTATAGACTCTAGCTGATAAATCGACTGATAAATTCAAGCGAACAGCCCTAACTCTTCCTAACGTCACCACACATGGGAGTAGAGTGAAATAATGATCCTGCTCGCTGCAGCTACTCGAGCTGCGGCTGCAGTTGTTTTGTAGCAGTAGCCACAGTAATCGTGCTTGTTTTTTACAGCCACAACCACAGCCTAAGAAGTTACGGCGAGCAGGCTAACTGTAACAAGGACATTATGTCCCCTTTTTCATAAGGTTTCTTTGCATCCATCTTTACTCAACGAGTTTGAAAATATGATGGAGAAGAAATGTTTATGTGGCTTTACCTTTTTAGTATAGAAAATGGCTTGAAACATCTCTCGCAAAAGTCGTTCCTCGAGTTAGCATATGGCAAGACTTCACATAATAATGATCCAAAGAAATCACAGTTAAAGAATCCCAGTGTCCTATTCGCTTGATCGTATTCGGCTAATAAGCCATGGTTTATCAGCCAACGAACAATATTTTTCTCTCACACTAAATCAGTCAACAGTACTTTTAGCCATGGTGTCGACATAGAATTTTCGTCTTCGTGCCGAAGACACACGCAGCAAGCCGGAAGGGTCCACTCGATAGAGCAGATCCGTCTAACTTCAACGCAAGGGTGTCCTCCCGAGACGTGCCAGTCAATTTGACCCTGCAACTGACAAGGAGAGAAAGTTTATCAGTAATTAAGGGCGAAACATGCCGGTGTTGCCAGACAGTCCCGAATGTGCGGCTTTGAGAGCCGATGTGAGAGGAGATCGACTAAATAGTCGATTCCAGCATATTCATTAGAATAAATCGGTTAAAGCTCATGGGGTTGTCTAAGAAGAATCGGTTATTATCCAAGATAGATATAATTCGAGCAATAATTTAATCAATGGCAATAAGATATCGATGATGATTGGTTTAAACCGAGCCAATGATTATAAGTAACCGAACCCCTTTTATATAAAAAAATAATTCAACACCACTTAACCATTTAATAAAGATAAATCTAATGAACATGTTAGATCTCATCTATCACCATGATCAGTGAGGCATGAGGCAGAATCATGCAGGCCGTAGAAACAACGATAGACTCGACTACCCTGACTCATTACTAATATTAGTGGGGCATGAGACAGAATCATGCAAGCCGTAATACAATAATAAGATCATGGGGCTAACATATCTTTCAACTTATCTCTACTTCAATGATCTCGTGATGTGAACTGTTCGTGAAAGCATTCGATATCGGCTAAACAGCCGATTCAGGCATAGCGTACAGTTAAGGTCACGCCTTCTCAGGAACGGATCTATCGACTAACGATCCCCGCTCCACGGTGCTAACAGTGGGGTGAGAGGCAGAATCCCACAGGCCATGATAACGGGCCATGGAACGGCTCTCGCTAACCAATAGATCTACTTAAGATCGAACATGCCTTAACCGCACACTATGCACGATTAAGATTGATATAAACCAGCCGATAAAAACATAACCCATCGTTTAAGATATATATTAGATCAGTTTTAGATTAGCAAACGATGGGTTAAATAAGGTATAAGGCCGATCCAGATCAATCTCAATTGGGCAGAGTGATATTGCTGTAATTAGATAGACAATGAAAGCAATAAGCAATATCGATAACTTAATGAATCTACCAAAGACTGTCATCCAAAGGTAGAGCCGATAACTTGACCCTGATCTAGTTCAAACAGTGGGGTGTGAGGCAGAATCACACAGGCCATACTTGAACTAGGCAAGAGTCGATAACTAGCCTATACCAGAGTCGCAGTGGGGGGCGACCGAATCGATGCAGCCATACGAACAGAGGTATAAACCATGACGGTACTTACAACAAGCAGTGGAGGTCGACCGGATCGATGCAGTCGTACTTGCTGAAGAACTCACCGAGATCTACTCTACTCCTACTCCTAAGGGGTGGCCGGAGCCAAAAAAAGTAATTGACTTGTATTTGATTGATTGTGTTTTTTACAATAGCTGGGGCTTTGATATTTATACCTGGGACCTGCGTATGACTCCTGTCTAAGTACGACTCATTACAATTTTCTAACCTTAAAGAAAGTATTCCTAATTTAAGGTAACTTGGACTCTAATCTTTTCCTTTTCGTAGAGTCCAACATGTCTCGTCCTGGCGCCGAACGTAGCCTCCGTTGTTATCTGCTGGCGTTATCTGAAGAAAGCCGATTCCAACTCTTGCATCCGAATCAGCTATTCCCAATCTGCACGCAATTGATCTCCTGCTGACATGATTTTGGGAGCTCTCGAGCCCCTGAGACACTTCTTCCAAATTTCGGTGTAAACACATGCCCCCCAATTTTGGGATAAAAGTAATTTTATTCCAAAATTATCACGTCTTCATTCGTGATGGGTCTGCATTATCGCGCCAGCGCCTTTATCGCCGAGAAGGTGCTACCCGAGATGTTTCTACCGTCCCGAAACACGGGCCTGACCCGGTTCAGCCTTCGGGGCCATCTTTAACGCCGATTCGACGCCACCTTTCCTGTTATCCGAGGAGACAAATCGATAATGATGATCTAATCGTCTCTATTGATCGGACTGATCAAAACCTGGCCAACTGTCTCTCCCTCGCAGAGTCAGCTCTGGCCATGGTTCAAATTCGGTCGTCTTATGAGGCCGGTTTGAGGGAATGGCTGGCCAGGGCTAAAGCCAGAATCACAGGTGATGCGGCTATCACAATCTCCTCATCTTTTCATCGCTTTTGCCTTTGAGATTTTCTGGTCATTCCTTCCTTTGAATTTTAGATCTCACTGCTCAGTTGGAAATCCTTCAATTGGCTATGGAGCACGCGGTGGGATTTGTTAATGCCAGAGGCGCTGTCCCGGTGGTTCGCCTGTACGACGTCCCGAACCGTGTCAGGGAGGTTGCTCTTCATGGTGTCCGTCACGGTGCTGCCGCAACATTGGCTGTTGCACAGGCCCATTCTGGCTGTAATCTTTGGCTTCTTCCTCATGGTTTCCCAGACACGATGCACCCCAAGGATCATGAGCGCCTGACTGAGGGTTTTCTTGGTGCCGCTAGCTCCGTGGCCTTCAGCACCCTAGCCGATGACATAGTAGGTAAAGTATTTTTCGGCCCATAACTTGTAATAGGCAACGTTTAGCAAACAATTTCCTTGAGTGATTTTTGCTTTGATTTGTACTTCATATTATACGCATCACTCTGTCCATGTTTGCTTTACTCCCATGAACGATATGCACTGTTCTGGTCTTTGCCTTCCTTTGGGCCTATTCTCTGCACTAGCAACGATACCCTCATGGTATCGGCTATTAGAGCTAATGACCGAGCAAATTGATTGTCAAGTATTGATTTGAATGCTAGGGTAATATCCCTTCAAATATCTCCCATTTGATTGTTCTGCCGAATCCTCTCTCTCTTCTCAGTATTTCCAAAACAAGTGCATCACCTGGCGCGTATCGTTTGATCTGAAGAGGTTCTCCTCAGAGTCTTGTCTCCCTTTTTTCGCCAAGGGGCACTCGAACAGGCAAGAGGTTTAAAGAACCACTACGGTCGGTCGATCACGTCTACTTCGGCTAAAGAGCCGATTCTTGGGAATAGCCAATTCCAGACTTTCGATATTAATCCCACTCAGGTCTAAAAACACGGCATTCATTAAGGGAGCCCTTCGATCTCATATCTTTAGTCATCTGGCGCCGTATTCTCTTCGACATTGGTGAAGCGGCGCTTTGCCTCCCATTAATTACGGTTGCCTTTTGCGTGTCCTGAGACGTCCGTCCCTTCGCTTCATGTCTTCAAATACCGGTCGATGTCTCTCGCCTCGAACACATCTCCATCCGTAACTGTTCCTTTGCTCCTCTCCGCCTGCCGAAATCCTGTAGCGGTTTCTCCTTTTCCCTTTTATAGATCCAATCATTCTTCATGGCCGGCGAAAACAACTGAGGCAAGCGCGTGGTGGAGGAGATTCCAGAAGAGAATATGCCGATGAATCAACGTCTCCGGTGCATGAGGTGAGATTGACATTCTTGTTTGCGATGATGAACAGTTCTGATTCGCCTACAGGTTTGTTGTGAATGACAGCCTACGTCCTCTTTCTAGGGCCAACAGGCCCTCTGACACATCTTCTGCGCCGGCTTCGTCGTCAGATTCTTCTGACTCTTACAATGGCGACGACGCCCGGCGCTATCTTCATGAGTCAAAATGACAACGGGTACCCGAAACTCGAGTACCCGACGGGTTTTACCCGATAAGGAGGCGGGTATGGAAGACATTTTGCACCCGCGGGTACGTTATTGGACAAATTCTTGTACCCATCGGGTATGCGGGTACGGGTGTGGGTGTATACTACCCATACCCGCATACCCGCAGGTAAAAAAACCCGCATAAATAATATCCAACCTCTGTAATTTTAGCTCATATAAGCATATAGCCCATATTTGGCCC